AAAGAACTGGTCATTGCAGATTATCTTCTTCTTCTTCTTCTTCTTCTTCTTCTTCTTCTTCTTCTTCTTCTTCTTTTTTGGTTTTTCGAGACAGGGTTTCTCTATGTAGCCCTGGCTGTCCTGGAACTCACTCTGTAGACCAGGCTGGCCTCGAACTCAGAAATCTGAGTTCAATTAGCCAATAAACACTTTTTAAATAAAAATATTTTTAAAAAGTGAAATAGCCGGGCAGTGGTGGCGCATGCCTTTAATCCCAGCACTTGGGAGGCAGAAGCAGGCAGATTTCTGAGTTCAAGGCCAGCCTGGTCTACAGAGTGAGTTCCAGGACAGCCAGGGCTACACAGAGAAACACTGTCTCAAGAAAACAATTTATTTTCTATTGGGCATGAACATTTTGCCTATATGAATGTATATGCACTGTGTGTGTGTCTGGTGGTCATGAAGGTCAGCAGAGGGTCAGCATCAGACCCCTCGGAGCTGGAGCTATGAGAAGTTGTGAGCTGCCATGTGGGTGCTGGAAACCTCTGTAAGAGCAGCCAGTGCTCTTACCCACTGAGCTATCTCTCCAGCCCCTTATTTTAATTAAAATAAAATTTAATATCTATCTATCTATCTATCTATCTATCTATCTATCATGTATACAGTATCCTGCCTGCATATATTCCTGCATACCAGATGAGGTCATCAGATCCCATTACAGATGGTTGCGAGCCCCCATGTGGTTACTGGGAATTGAACTCAGGATCTCTGGAAGATCAGTCAGTGCTTTCAACCTCTGAGCCGTCTCTCCAGCCCCCTTCTTTTCATTTTTAATTATATGTATATGTATGTGGGTGCATGAAAATGTGTGCTGTGCTTGTGGAGGCCAGAGGTGTCAGGTCCCCTGGAACAGGAATTACAGGTAATTGTGAGCTGCCTCATATAGTTGCTGGGAGCCAAACTCAGGTCCTCCGTGAGAGCAGTGTGCACTCTCTCTCACTGAGCCATCTCTCCGACCCAGTAAACTAAGAGAAAGAAACTTCTCTGTGGAATTCTACTACAGACAGGATAAAGTCCATACTAGCACCCAAGGCCTCTCCCTGACAGCAGGAGTGCTAGCCCGGTGTTATCTTCTAGACTTGTGGGACAGACACACCCTAAACTGCAAACAAGCATGGCATACCTTGCCCTGAACTTAGCTTCCTGTCCTCCTCCCAAGCCTTCAGCTGGCCGTGAGGACCTTCCATCTTCCCCACCTGCTACCCTTGAACCACTCTTCTGGCAAGCACCTCGAGAGTCCTTTTTCTATGCCAGGTAGCAAAACTGCTTGGCAGCTTTTCTCTGACACGTTGAGTGGCGAGCACCTCAAAGGCTGGTTCTCTCTTCTTCGCAGGGGCCTTGGCTCACTGCTTATACCCCAAATAGGCAATGGCTGCTTCTGGAGTCAGAAAGGCAGTGTCATAGACTTGGGAAAGGTGAGGCAGGTTTTATAAGGATGTGACTTGGGGTAGATTTTAAGAAAAAGTAATATGGATCAGGCTAACAAGATGGCCCAGTGGATAAAGGTGCTCGCCAAGAAGCCCACAAAGACAAGAAGGGGGCATTGGATTCCCTGGACCTGGAGTTACAGATGGTTCTGAGTTACCTTTGTGGGTATTAGGAATCAAACATGGGTCCTTGGAAAAAGCAGCCAGTAGCTTCTGAGACTTCAGTGCCTAGGACTCACACAGTGGCAGAAGAAACTGGTTTCTCAGAATTTCACCCTAAGAGGATTCTTGTCTCCTGAGACTTGTCCCCTGACTTCTGCACACATGCAGAGGCATGAAGGTGCCTGCACTCCCACATGTACAGATAAAATAGATAAAATAAGTTAATATGTTGAAACACACAAAATTTTCTCTCAAGTATGTTGGTGTCACTCTTTACGCTGATTGATGATACAGGAGACATTTGTCCTAAATGTTCTTTTACATGGTAGAGATACTTTCTTTTTATAAATTAATTTCTTTTTTTAAGGTTTATTTATTATGTATACATGTATGCCTGCACACCAGAAGGGGGCATAAGATCTCATTATAGATGGTTGTGAGCCACCATGTGATTCCTGGGAATTGAACTCAGGATCTCTGGAAGAGCTGCCAGTGTTCTTAACTGCAGACCTATTTCTTCAGCACAGAGATACCTTCTTGTTTTACATTTATAGCTTTCAGTGAAAAAGATGCAATAATTACAAAGAAAACCAGTTGTTTCACATCAGTGTCATCAGAAAACAAAATTAAAAGACAAATGACAACTGGAAAAATATTAATCACATAGAATAAAGAGATAATGGGGCTAGGAAGAAGTTTCAGTGGTTAAGAACACTTGCTGACCTTCCTGAGGACCTGAGTTCAGTTCCTTGCTACCACGTGGCAGTTTATAACCTTTCATAACTCCAGCTCCTGGGGATCTGACACCTTCTTCTGGCCTCTGTCAGCACAAGGTGTACATGTAGTGCATAGGCAAAACACATAAAATTAAATGAAACATTTAAAAAGAAAAGATACTAACCACACATGATGGTGCTTGCCTTTAACCCCGGCACTTGGGACACAGAGGCAGGCAGATATCTCTGTTCCAGTCTATCCTGGTCTATAAAGTGAGTTTCAGGACAACCAGGGCTATTCAGAGAAACCCTGTCCAAACAACGACAACAACAACAACTCTACTCAAAAGCCCAGCATAGCTAGCCAGGTCTGATGGCATATACCTTTAATCTCAGCACTAAAGTATTGGCAGAGGCAGGTGGATCGCTATAAATTTGGGCTAGCCTGGACTACATAGTTTTAGGCCAGTTAGGGTTACATAGTGAGATCTAGTCTCAAGAAGAAACAAACAATAAACAAAAACAACAGCAACAAAAAGTTTAGTGTGATGGTACACACCTGTCATCCCAGCACTCAGAAGAGTAAGGCAGGAGAACTGTGAGTCCCAGGCTAGCCTGGGAATATATATATATTCAAGTTGGATCAAATCACACACACACACACACACACACACACACACACACACACACACACACTCAGTGTCAAAAGCCTGTAATCTCAGCATTTAGGAGGTGAGGACGGGATGATCAGAAGTTTAAGGACAGCGGCTGCAGGGGTTTGAGATCATCATGGGTCATATGAGAGACTTTCTCAGAAAGAAAACAGCCCCCCACTGTGGCTGAGCTGTGTTAAATCCGCTCAGAATCCGCATGGTGAAAGGGGAAAACTCCTGGATGAAGTCTCTAATCTCCATTCCTGCACTAGGGCATGCCTGCCTGTGCCCACCACATACCCCACACATAAATAAAAGTTGGAAACAACAAACAACAGGAATGAAGGGAGCAGCCCCACTTCCACCCTCAGGGCTGGCTTCCTCTTTGGAAGAAGCTCTTCCTCTCTTCCTCATCTGCATAACTCTCTTCCCTCAGGCCTTGGTTCCCTTTGACTTCACAGTGGATCCTGCCCTGTACCTCTACCCAGCTGAAACTCCCAACTTGTCCCCGTTGAGTTTCTCCATGCTGTTTTCTAGAGTATTTGTAACGTATGCTATAGCTCACATAGCATATTACAGAGCTTTCTGACTTCTGTTTCCTCCTGATAAATGAAGTCTGTGAGGTCAAAGCTTTTATCTCTGTTAACATGTATCACAGCCTGAAAGGTCCTGCCTATGTTCTCAATAAATATTTGTGAAATAACCGAAGTCTTAGAAACAGCGTGGGCTGGAGGTCTGGTGCTGTAGCCTGACATTTGTCAGGCCCTGGGCTCCATACTCAACACCTCAATATTGTTCCTATTTTGCTTCTTTAAATTTTATTTTAAAGTATAGCAGACATATGGGTACATAGTAGAAGAAAGGATGTCAAAATGTTAAAGGTCATTTCTGATGATATTTTTTTCTTCTTTGTGTTTTCCTGTGTGTTTATTCCTGAAATCCTATATGAAATGGTTATTTTTGGCAAGCATGGTGGTACACACCTATAATCAATCCTAGCACTCAGGACTGAGGCAGTGGCTGGCATCACAAGTTCCAGACCGACTTGAACTTCATATAGAGACAAAAATAAAGGGGGTATTTTTGGAATGGTTCAGTGAGTAGAGGTGCCTGCCACCAAACCAGATGACGTGAATTTGCACTCCAGAGCTCAAGTGATGATGGAAAACCGAACCAATGTCTCGTTATCTTCTGACCTACAACACACACACACACACACACACACACACACACACACACACAGAGAGAGAGAGAGAGAGAGAGAGAGAGAGAGAGAGAGAGAGAGAGAGAGAGGAAGAACGAATAATTTAAAAATGTAGATTGCAAAGCTCCACATTTTAAAAAGTATTACCTTACCATGAGAAAACTGCTTCCTAAACCTCTTGTAAGCCTCTAGTACTCTGCACTCAACACCACACAGTGAACTGTTCTTGCTGTGAATTGTGTGAATCCAGTTTTTTTTTCTGTATGAAAAGCATCAGAAATTGGAGAGATAATAATGCAATACATGTAATGCAAGGACACATATATGTAGAATATTGCTTTTATTTTGTGGTAAATAGTGTGGTAAACAGAAGGTAATAAATATCTACGCCTCACCCATCCACTGCAACATCCCCAGGGAACACACCCACCTAGCAACCGGGAGCGGAGCTGAAGAGCAACGCTGTGCCTTTAATTCCGGGGCTGGGGTGGGGGCAGTGCAAAGAGGTTCCGCTTTCCCATTCCCTCAGCACCTCCAGTGGCAGCTGTCACCTGTAAGCGAGCACCGCGCAGGGGAATGGAGCCTGGCGCCCATTGGACAGGGCCTCTCGGCAGCCACCTACCCCCCAGTCTGGGGGCCAGGCCCGGCGCAGGCGGAGGGTAGGAGTCTCAGGTGCCCTTCGCCCGGAGACTTCCCAGCACGGCGGCGAGGGCGTGACTACAGTCCAGTTTCGGGGATCAGAGCCCCAGGTGAGCCGGACTGGGCGGCTGGGGCGACCCCGGAGTCGCAGGGACCGAGCATGGCGCTGGCAGCCGCTGCCGCTGCCGCTGCCGCCGCCGCAGGGGTGAGCCAGGCGGCGGTGCTGGGCTTCCTGCGGGAGCACGGCGGGCAGGTGCGCAACTCGGAGCTGCTGAGCCGCTTCAAGCCGCTGCTGGACGCTGGGGACCCACGGGGCCGCGCGGCCCGTAGGGACCGCTTCAAGAAGTTCGTCAACAACGTGGCCGTGGTGAAGGAGCTGGACGGGGTCAAGTTCGTGGTGCTGAGAAAGAAGCCGCGGCCGCCGGAAGGACCCGAGGCCCCACTCTCCTCCAGCCCTGGGGAGCCAGCCGCGCTAGCCGAGTGCGCTGCTGTGCCAGCAGAGGACAGCTGTGTCCCCGGGTCTCCCCACTCCCCACAGCCGTCAGGAGAACCGTCGGAGGACTCGCCCGCACCATCCGATCTACAGCACACCTCTGAGACCCCACCCTCAGGGGTCACCCAGGTTGAGGCTCCATCAAGCTCAGCGCCACAGCCTGGGGGACCCGAGGATCTGGAGCTACCTCGGTCCTCGGAGCTAGCCCGACCGGCCAGCGTGCCGTCGGGGCTGGCTCTGCCGAGCACAGAGTCGCCAGGCCCGGAGCCTGCACCTCCCACGGCGCAAATGCCACCGCAGAAGCCTTGCATGCTGCCTGTGCGCTGCGTCGTCCCTGGCCCCGCGGCGCTGCGGATCCGCGCGGAAGAGCAGGGCCTGCGCCGGCAGCGGTCGGAGGAGCCGAGCCCGCGGGGCTCCCCGATGCTCCTGCGGCGGCTCTCGGTAGAGGAGTCCGGGCTTCACCTGGGACCCGGCCGCTCCCCGCATCTCAGGCGCCTGTCGCGCGCCGGCCCGCGCCTGCTGAGCCCGGACACGGAGGAGGTACCCGTCGCGCCGCCGCCGCCACCCGCGGTGCCCCTGGAGCCCGCGGAGCACGAGTGGCTGGTGCGCACGGCCAGCGGTCGTTGGAGCCACCAGCTGCACGGGCTGCTCTTGCGAGACCGCGGCCTGGCTGCCAAGCGCGACTTCATGTCCGGCTTCACCGCCCTACACTGGGCGGCCAAGAGCGGCGACCGGGAGATGGCTTTACAGCTGGTGGAAGTGGCGCGGCGTGGGGGCGCTCCCGTGGACGTGAACGCGCGCTCGCACGGTGGCTACACGCCGCTGCACCTGGCGGCTCTGCACGGCCACGAGGATGCAGCGGTGTTGCTGGTGGTGCGCTTGGGCGCCCAAGTGCACGTCCGAGACTACAGCGGCCGGCGAGCCTACCAGTACCTGCGGCCTGGCTCCTCCTACGCGCTGCGGCGGTTACTGGGTGACCCTGGCCTGCGATCTACCACGGAGCCTGATGCGGCCGGTGGTGGCAGTGGGAGCTTTGTGTCTCGGCACCCCGTGCAGGTGGCCGCCACCATCCTCAGCTCCACCACTAGCGCGTTTCTGGGCGTCCTGGCCGACGACTTGATGCTCCAGGACCTGGCCCGTGGCTTGAAGAAGTCAAGCTCCTTCAGCAAGTTCTTGGGTGCCTCGCCCATGGCTCCCCGAAAAAAGACCAAGATCCGTGGTGGCTTGCCGTCCTTCACCGAAATCTCTCGTCGACCCACTCCAGGACCTTTAGCTGGTTTAGTGCCCAGTCTGCCCCCTCCAACCTGAATAGCCTTGGAGCTACCAAGGCCTTGGTTGACCTACCAGGGCCTGTGGCACATCGTTTAAGCCTGTCCAAGACAGGCCCAACACCTGCAGCCTGTCTCACTTCCAGTATTATCTGTTGCAGCCTGCTGAACCCAGATGGGCCTCCACCTTCCGTTTGAAATTTGATGTGCCTACAGAGATGGGATTCTTGTTCCCCGGAAGAGGAACCAAACAGCCATGCCTGATCTTGGGAGGAGACTTGAAGTTAAGGGTCAAAGGTTAAGGGGCAGCAGCTGGTCTGGCCCCTGGAGGTGTTAACCAGAGGCCTCTAGGTGGACACATTCCCAAATCAGAAATAGAGGGTGGCTCTCTAGATGTTCAAAGATGGTGACTTTAAGATTTGTAGTGGCTTTGTAATTCGATACTTTTATTCTGTTTTTAAATTAAAATGAGGTACAGCAACTTTGATAATACCTTTTGAAATTCTATTTTTTTTCCATTTTTAGGCAAAGTAGTAAGACATTTTCAGTTTTTTTTTTTTTTTTTTTTTTTGCTAAGTATTTTGGAAGTCTATCTTTTAAAAAGAGATGGTTGAGTCTAAAAGAAATTAATCCTAAGCCAACAACACTCATGCTTACCTACCTCATCGTAGGCGGTATAGATTCTGGAATCTTGAACATGGAGTAACTACTGTGAGCCTAATGAATGTAACTAATTCCAATTATACTGTGAATATTGAGAAACAAGCGTATGATTGGGCTGGTGGCCCACACTTTTAACCCTAGCACTTGAGAGGCAGAAGCAGGCAGATCTCTGTGAGTTCAAGACCAACCTGGTCTACAGAGCAAGTTCCAGGCCAGCCAGGGCTACACAGAAAAATTCTGTCTCAAAGCAAACACACACACACGCACATGCACACACAGCACCAGGAAAAAAAAACTCAAAGTGAGCAAAAACCGAACAAACAAAAAGAAGACCATCTTGAGAGAAACAGAAATTTTGATAAACCATTTTAAACTACTCCGGAATGTATTTGTGTTCAGCCCTAACTGGTGGCTACTTTGATTAGGCATGACGTTTTAATTTTTTTAAATTGTGATTTTATTGTGAATTCTGAATCTTTAGTTTTTCAGTGCAATGGGTGACTAGTCAAACAAAGAAACAAAAAATTATTATATCAGAAAAAAAGATCTGATTAATAGAAGCTGAAGTGATTGCTGCTTTTTTATGTGAAAGTTCTGAACAAGTAAGTATGAGGTTTTCATTTTTCAAAAACCATTTGAAATAGCAAATGTAGAGCGGCGGCCTAGAATGATTAGTTTAATGTCTGCGCCTTCGTTCCTTCCTATGAATGGCGCAGGCTTACGGGCCAAGAGGTCCAGGTGGGGATAGTAGAATTGTAAAAGTATCCCTTTCTTTTTAAGGTATGAAATCTATTTGCTCAGTCAACTTTTTGTATCAAATCATGATATTACTGTCTTGGAAAGTTATGTTTGCATGCCATCAGTCATACAGAATGGTTCTTGTGGCACACAGTATGGCTTCCTTCCCAATATATGTCAGTGAGACTTTGAAACCATTAAAGACATCCTGACAACCAATTATGGAACGATATAAGCAATGAAATAAATAGTTTCTGTTTTTATTTCTGCTTGTGTTGCGGTGCCCTTCTCTGATTTTCCTTATTTAATGGAGTGTTGTTATTCCTGGGGCTGGAGAGATGGCTCAGCGGTTAAAAGCGTAGAATCTTAAAGGTCTTGCAATGGACCCCAGTTTGGTTCCCAGGACTCACGTCAGTCAGTCCACAGCCTCCTGTAACTCCAGACTCCATACCTCTGCATACACACACCCATATACACAAGTAAAACTAAATCTTCACAATAATGATAACAATAACATCTTGTTCTGTGTGAGAAGGAGGGAGTGTGGGTCTGCATGTGCCACGGAGCATATGCTGAGGTCAGGGGTCAAGTTTCAAGGAGTCGGTTCTCTCCTTCACTGTGAGATCCAACATTGAATGTAGGTTGTCAGGTTTGCTAGGCAAGTGCCTGCTGGACCATCATGCTATCTCCCTTCCTCCTTCCCTCCTTCTCCTTCCTCCTTCCCCCACCCCCACCCCCTAGGGCTAGAGAGTGAATCCAGAGTGTCTTCCATATTGGACAAAATCAGCCACCGGCTACATCCCGCTTCTGTTCCATCTATACACTGTCCTCTCTGTATTCCCACCACCCCCTTTCAAGCATTCTATATTCAAAGAGTTCAAATTTCTTTGCAAAGGAAAGGAATCAATCACACAGGCATTATAGCCGTGAACCACGGATAAATGCAAGCCCTGATCCCACTCTCTCTCCCTCCCCTGCCGGGAACTCTAGCTAGTCTGCATAAATTATTTTAAAATGCAAATTAAATCTTCTGCCTCTGCAGATAAAATGTGGAGAGGCAATAATCACAGCAATTTGGTACAGCTCAAGCTCCAGGAGACAGAATGAAACATTAGAGGTTTTCTGTGGTGAAGGAAAAGCCTGACTGAGAAGGGGTGACAAAAGTCCCAGGGGCAGACATGACCTGCCCTGAGAGACAAGATCCCAGCTAAGGAGCAGTAAAGAGAACCAGTGATCACAGAGCGCTTACCTCCCAGAAGAGCTATTTCAGAGGAATCTTCATATTTCCCCAGTACCCTGAAAACCTCCAAGTGGTGTGAATCATTTGCTAAGAGCTAAGAATCAATAACCCCACAGCCTGGGTGTTAGGAGCCATTGCTGTTCCCTCAAATGTCAAGGCTGTTCTGGAACTGTGCAGGAAATCATCAAGAATGACAGTGTTGGTATCAGTATCGGGGAAGAGCCATATATTTATTTTCTTAAAAGAAAATCATTAGTTGGTAGCCAGAGAGCGAGAGAGAGCAAGAGAGAGAGAGAAAGAAGTGGGGGTGGGGGGGAAGATGAGTTGGTAAAGTGCTTGCTTCATAAACTCATGAACCTAAATTAGATCCTAAAAATTCACATAAAAAAAAAATCCAGCCGGGTGGTGGTGGCACATGCCTTTAATCCCAGCACTTGGGAGGCAGAGGCAGGCAGATTTCTGAGTTCAAGAGTTCGAGGCTAGCCTGGTCTACAGAGTTCGTTCCAGGACAGCCAGGGCTACACAGAGAAACCCTGTATCGAAAAACAAAAAAAAAAAAAAAAACACAAACAAAAAAAAATCCAGGTGGCCAGGTGTAGTGGCACCTGCCTTTAATCCCAGCACTTGGGAGGCAGAAACAAGTGGATTGCTGTGAGTTCAAAGCTAGCCTGGTCTACACAGTGAATTCCAGGACAGCCAAGGCTACATAGAGAGACCGTGTCTCAAAAACAAAACAAAACAAAACCCAACAAAACAAAAACAAAAAACACAATAAAAAACAATAAAAAGCAAACAAACAAAACAAAACAAATGGGGGTTGGAGGGATGGCTCAGTGGTTAAGAGCACTGACTGCAAAAAAAAAAAAAAAAAAAAAAAAGAGCACTGACTGCTCATTCAGAGGACCTGGGTTCAATTCCCAGCACCCACATGGCATCTCACAACTGTCTGTAACTCCAAGATCTGACACCCTCACACAGACATGCATGCAGGTGAAACTCCAATGCACATAAAATAAAGATAAACAAAATTGTTTAAAAGAAAACCAACCAGCCAAACAAACAAGCCTGGTGTGGGGCTGGAGAAGTGGGTCTGGGGTTAAGGGCACTGGCTGCTTTTCCAGAGGACTGGCTTTTGCTTCTCAGCCTGGTGGAGCATGGTGGCTCCCAACCTTATCTTCAGTTCAGGAAGTCAGACATCTTTTCTGAGTTCCCTGGGCACCAGGCACTCAAGTGGTATGCAGGCAAAACACTCGTGCACATAAATAAATTGATGATGATGATGAAGATGATGATGATGATGATGAAGATGATGATGATGATATAAAACCAAGGCGTGACAGCATGTTCTTGTATTCTCTGTGCTGGGAAAGCAGAGACAGAGGATTCCCTTGAGCCAGCCATCCTAGCCTACTTAGTGAGATCCAGGCTACTGAGCAATACTGCTCAAAACAAAACAACAAACCAGAAATCCACAGAAGAAACAAATTAAAAATCCAAGTGGACAACATCTGAGGAAAAGCACTGGGGTTGTCCTCTGGAGACCATCCATGTGGGCATGCACATGCACCCACACATTTGCACCTGCACACAAGTAAACACACACACAGACACCATGAAATACACCCAGACACATGTAAATAAATAAATGAATAAGTGTAATAGAAAAATAAACTGTTCGCGCAGTTAAGGTGGTAAAGGTTGGCCCAGGAGGAGAATTTTTTTTTAATTTATTATTCATTTTATGTATGTGAGTACACTGTCGCTATCTTCAGAGACACCATAAGAGGGCATCGGATCCCATTACAGATGGTTGTGAGCCACCATGTGGTTGCTGGGAACTGAACTCAGGACCTCTGGAAGAGCAGTCAGTGTGCTTAACCACTGAGCCATCTCTCCAGCCCGAGGCGAATCTTTTAATGGAAGACAAGTTCATTGTTGACGTAGATGTGTGTGAGTCCCAGCCGCAGCACACTGGGAGTGTTTTACATCACCTTTGGTGGAGGTGCGGTTTATTCTAGAACAAGCCTCTCTTGCCTAATGAAGAATCAGGGCACGGGTAACGAATCTGTAAACTGTGTTTGTTAAGTATGTCCCAGGCACAGTTTCAATATGCCGAAGTTATTAACAAGCCTTGTGCACGTCGTAGACTCAGTACCTGGGTGCTTTCCTCACCCGCCCCATTTGTGTGTGTGTTTGCGCATGCGCATGTACATAAGCACTTATTGGGTGGTACGTGTGGGTGCAAATGCACGTGGAGGCTTAAGGTTGATGGCTGAAATAATTCCCAATCCCTCTTCCACCTTCTGCAGTGAGGCAGGGTCTCTCAGTCAACCTAGAATTCATGGATATAGCTAGTCTCCCTAGCCAGCTTGTTCTAAGGATCCCCGAGGTGGGCCACCATGCCCATCTGGCATTAATATTGGTTTTGGGGACTGAACTCTGATTTTCGCGCTTGCTCACCGAGCTCTTAAGTACTGAACCATGTCCCCGGTCCATTCATGTCTAGATTTTTAAGTCAGGAAGCTGAAGAGGCTGCAAAGGTCGGAAGAAACGTGTTCAGGTTCACTTCTAGTCAGTGGCAGAAAGGCATGGCGTCATCCCTAAACCCATTTGTTGAGGGTTAGTGTTGGCAACCTGAATCTGAAATCATCTAGAGAGAC